GGCTGGTGTTAAAAGTGTGCACCACCGATACCTGGCTGATACTTTTTAATAATCATCTTAATTTTTAAGTGTGGAAATTGAGAACTGACTTCTGAAAGTCATCCTCTGACTTCCACACAGAGGCTGGAGAATGAGTATGTGCCTCCACTCACACACCCACACACAGAATAATGATCAATAAAAATTTAAAAAGAATTTATTTTTTTAATTTTTTTTATTAGTAACTTTTTAAAAAATGTTAATCAAAGGCTTTATAAGTTTGGTAATGCTCAATAACAAGATGCCCATACAATCAGAAGTGTAACCCAATACCCAACCTAGATATACCAACTATTTTTGACTGGCGGAGACACTCGAACATCGGCCTCCATGTTCCCCTCCCCCCACTCTCTCTCCTAGCTCCTCCTCTCCTCCTCCTCCTTTCCTTACTCCTCCTCCTCTCCTTACTCCTCCCACCATAGCTCCTCCTAGATATCACTCTTCCTGTTAAGATAAAACTTTTCTCTCAAAATACAATTAGAGCATAGCTATACCAATTTGTATCAGTAAGGTACAAGATAGACCTAATACCCAGTCCATCATTTTGTTGACTAACCAGAACCTCTGTTATCTCTCCTAACTAAAAGACTTATCTCTGAACCTGGCTTTTTTCTTGGCTTTAGAATGAATATCAGGCTTAGACCCAGTCCTTCTTTAACTTTTTTAACTGATTTGAGATGGTTAGCCTGTGAGTTAAGGGCTTATAGCAAATTCATGGCTCTGAGTTTATTGTTAGGGTGTTTTCTATATTTTATTTAGAAATAGCTGAGAGGAGTTAACAGACCACAGTCCAGATTGCCTTACATGGATAGTTGGTTTTCAAAACATCAGAAGTCCACAGAAGTGACATTACAAACATTTCTGTATTAAGGTTCATTTTGATTAGAGACCTGTCTGCTCCTGACAGCTTCCTGTCTTGGATTCTAAGAAGAAATTGAGCATCTTTGGAGTTACTTCAGTTGTGGTGAGACAGACACTAGGCAAGAATTGCCTCTTCATCTACAGACAAATTACTGTCCTGAAAAGGGCACACTTGATGGTTTAAAAAAAAACGTGAATGGCTGTGATGCACACCTTTCATCTCAGCACCTGGGAGGCAGAGGCCAGTGGATCCCTGAGTTTAAGGCCAGTCTGTTCTGTAGAGCAGGTTTCGGGATAGCCAGGGCTACACAGAGAGATCCTGTCACAAAAAAAGTGACAAGAGGGAGAGAGAGGGAGAGAGACAGAGAGAGAGAGAGAGACAGAGACAGAGACAGAGAGAGTGTGCGTAAATGGCACAAGGCACTGCACATAAAGTACTTTACACACTTTATTTACTGACAGCAGGAGGCATATGGTACTGAACAGATACTTCCCTCCCTCCGGATCCTTCAAAAGCCTTGCCTCTTCTATAGACTCACTCCCTATTGGCCCAGGCAGGATTAATATTCCTGCCTCTGAGGACATAGTGTGCCCAGCCTATTGTTGACCCAATTTTGCTTTTAATTATTTATCCAAGTGTCTGTGTCCCACTCCAAGCTGTGAACACCTTGAGGACTAGGACCCTGGCACATTCATCATTATTAGCATTGGCATCCCACAGTGACTGGCACATAGTTGCTGCTCATTAAATGTTTGTTGATTAAGTGGAATGACACTGTCTCCCAGTGTTCCTGGGATTTTTAAAGACAGCTCTCTCTGCAAGGCCACTTTCCTGGCTCCATCCTTGGGACTGGGGCTGTGGCAAGTATGATCTATAAACTGATGTGAGTCTGCCAACTGTGTTGCCAAGGTGTGACAAGGTTAGCAGAAAACAGAGAATACGCATCCAGGCATGCCTAAGCAATCTGGTAGAATTGCATGGGTCTACTGGATCCCCTCGGGTCTTAATTGTGTCTTTATTTTTTTATTTTTTTTAATTTCACTTCCTAGTCACTTATTCCCATTTTTTTTTTTTTGCAGTAGTGTCAGCTGTGACCAATTAGAACATTAAAAATAGCTAGGTTTGATGGAGCATGCCTGTAATTCCAGTGCTCGGGAGGTTGAGGAAGGGACATTGCCATGAGTTAGAGGCCAGTCTGGGCTAGAGAGTGAATTCCAGGACAGCCTGGGCTACTGAGACCCTGCTGCGATAAATAAATAGACCTGGTTCTTAGTCACAGCTGATCTGAGAGGGTGGAGACCTTCTGCCTGACCGGAGTGTCCTCCAATGCACACACACACACACACACACACACACACCGCCACTGTACTTATGTCTCTCTGATACCTGGAAGGCTGTTTTGATTACTTAGGCCGCTCTTTCCTGTGGAAGTGTTATCGGAGAGAAAGCTGATTCCTGCTTAGACTAGACTAAATACAGGGTAAGGGAGAGAACCGGAAGAGAATGAGGGAAGGCGCCGGCTGGGGAAAGAAGGCTCAGATGGGTCAAGCAGGCCCAGAGCAGGGTGTGCCGAGGCTGTAGGAGATGCCCTGGACATCAGACTGTGGGGATGGGGGGATGGCAGAGGTAAAGCTGCCACAGAGCAGAGCAGAGAGCCAGACCTTTGAAAGTAAAAGCTTTGCAGTTTCCAGACCAATACAAAGGGATACTGTGAACTATTAAACTGTGGCTCTCAGAACAAGTTGGGTCCTGACATGAAACCCAAGCCCTGGCTCCAGCCTGGGGTCCTGACGGAGGTTAGGTCAGGGAATTAACACAACCAGGGTGACCGTGTTGGACACAGCTGGACTGGCTGGAGATACTTCAGGGCGGAGGCTCAGAGCCAGAAGAACCAGAGCTGATTTCTGTGAACTGATGGCATTAGCATATTTAAAGATCATGTCAAGGGGAGGAGGGAGAGCTCAGAGCCAAAATCTGCTGCTTACTGAGCCCCAAGAATCAGAATCCAGGGAAGGGCAGCCCTCAGGCTGTTCTCCCCCGGGGGGACTGTGCTCCAAGGCCAGGACTGAGATGTGGCCCTGGGGACCAGCTAGCCTCTCCTCCTCTCCCTCCTCCCATCCCTCGGTGCAGGGTTCCAGAGACCTTCTCAAGAATCTATTTCCTGCCAAGAATTTCCTGGAAGAGCACTGGACCCACTCTATCTTGATGATGACCACGAGAGGGGCCATACACCAGAAACTGTGCCAAGCACTTCCCCTCCAACAACCCTAGGAGGTACGCATTCCTGTGCCCATTTAATAGGTCAGAATATTGAGGCCCCCATTAGATTATTTTCTAGAGCTGTTCAGTTTGAACCTGGAAGAGAAGACTCCAGCCCAGTCTGCCTGACTCCAGGACCAGTAGGCTACCCGGTCACTCTGCATTTTCCTTTTGCTGTTAACAGTGGGCACAGTAAGTTGGCAGTCTGGTTAGTATGTCCATATGTCCGTCTCTCTGGGGCTAACTGGAGTGAGTCACTGCTTTGAATCTGAAGACTTGGGACTCTGCCTCACTGGAATGTGCATTCCCAATGGCTAAGCCAATGTGACCAGTGGGTTTAGTCAATGCTTTTCTCGACCACAACCCCGTCCGAGCCAAGACCACCACGGACATTGAGTTGGGAATTAGGAAGGAGGGTACCAACGGTGGGGATTTGGACAAGCCACGCTCCCCTGTGCCTCAGTTTTCCTACCAGTAAACTATCACATGACCTACCTCAACTCCAGCTCCAAAATGACTATCACTTGGGCCCCTAAGCTGTGGCTCTTGTCCAGTGTGCTGAGAACAGAGTGTAAGGGAGAGGGGTTGCACAAAGTGGAGTCCAGAGCAGTCAGGTTCCGCTGGATTTTAAGGTAAGCCGCCACCCCCCACCCCCCAGCATCTTGCCTCTCTGTGCTTCTGGGTACTCAAGAGCAGCCACCACCGGCTCTGGAGACCCAGATCTGAGAGGTGAAGATGTTTCTACCCCGAGACTCCTTTTCTCCTTCTCTAGCTCTCTTTGGGGAAGGAGAGGCGGGGTGAGGGGAGGAAATCAAATGAACAATCCACCTAACTGGCCTGAAGGTGGCGAGAGCTGTTTTTCAGGCTGGAAGTGGAATTAGAAAGCCAACCTAGATGAAGACCCGGAGGTCTGGCGGGACAGCCCGCTCCAGCCCCGAGAGCTTGGCCAAGAGGGGGCGCTGTGGCCCCCTGCACACCCTGCGGGCTGGATTCCCAGCTGCGTCCACAGCGTTGCGGCGCAGTGCGCGCCCCGCTTTGCCCTCCTTACAGTCTAGGTGCCCAGCCCACTGTCTCCACTTATCTTGGGGATCCTAAGTAGGGCCTGGACCAAACAGACAGACGCTTAGTTCCAAAAATGAATGAATGAATGAATGAATGAGTGAACGAAGGGTTGAAAAAGGAACGGTTCCCGCCTCCGCAGAGCTTCAGTGTCTCAGCACATCCTAGGTGTGTCTAGGCCAAAGGCGCGCGGAACGGGAGGGGGGTTCGGGCCCGGCCTCCCCTCCTCACCAATGTGGGGGCGGAGGTGAACCTCCTGGATGGCTGCAGGGCGGGAACCACCCAAATGTAGTTCTCGGCTTCTTTTTCCACGCAGGCTGAGTTTTGTGGAGATCGCCCTATTCCCCAGCTCCTACTAGCCTCTTAAATTCCCTCGAGACCCGCAAGTACCCCGAGATCTCCTGGACTCCCTTGGTCCGGACATCCAGCCTCACAAGAGGCTAGAGAAGAAAGGCTGCCTGCTCTCCAGCCGCCGCCTCCCCAATCCCCGGTTCTCCCCTAGCTGCTGCGGCCGCCACCGCTGCCTGTGCGCCCCGCGCACTGCTGCAAGCCAGGGTGCGGGGAGAGGGGGTTCAGCACGGCCAGGGTGCGGGGATCTGGCCTAGGGTTGGACAGTGGACAGAGGAGGCGGGAGCCGGCAGCCAGCAAAGGGGTGAGGAGCGGAGGAGGGACCGGAGGGGAGAGGAGGGAGAAAGAGGAGGGGACGCGAGGCGAGGGGGCGGGGAGCCGAGGCGAGAGGCAGGCGGACCGTGGGGGAGGCGACCGGGCTAGGCGGGCTCCAGGCAGGAGAGAGGTGGCCGTGGGCCGAGCTGAGTAGGGAGAAGGCGACCAGACTTGCTCGCAGAGGGCGAGCCAGTGCCTGCCGTGGGGCGGGGCGGGAGGGTGCGAAGCCGGGAGCCTGGGAGCAGCTCAGCGGCCCGGGAGAGCGGCCGCCCACCGGAGACCGCAGCCGCCTGCCCTCCACTCTGGGATGTCGGAGCGATCCAAGCATCCAGGACGCTGACGGAGCGAGCCCGAGGATGGGACGGCGCCCGCAGCTCCGGCTCGTGAAGGTAAGAGGGGACTGACCTGCCAGTGATCAGAGGTGCTCCGGGCCGAACGAGCTCAGGACAGGCGTGGGCAGAGGTGCCGGGGTGGGGGAGATCGGGGAACCCGGCGCCACCAGGGAGGTTGGGACTCAACCTGATGTCCTCTACGTGGACCTCTGAAGCCGGGCTTCGGAGACAGAGGGACAACTCTGGTGGAAAAAGAAAGGGTGGTGGTGAAGGCGCTGCGTGCCAGAAGAGGAGGGGGTCCGCCCACTCGAAGAACCGGCTTTGCGCGAAGAATCGCTGCAATCTTTGGGGCCGAAGCGCAATCTCCTTCAGGTTCTGGATGGGATCCCGTCCCTGCTGGACACCCTCGGAACCGGCCCTGTCCCGGTCCCGGGCGCTCTTTCCTGCCGGTTTCCCTCCGTAGAAAGCTTCGGGTTCTGGAGGTAGATGAGGCCCGCGCGTCGCGGCCCTTCATCCACTTAGCATCTCCGAAAGGCGATGGTGCGCGCGCCCCAGTGTCCAGCCGGTCCTCCGGGGAGCCACAGCCCCGGAGCGCAACGCATTCTCTCGCCTCGCTCGCTCCTGCCACCGGGCCGGAGAAGCGGTTCGGAAGCCCAGAGTTTCGAAAAGTCTCCAGAAGGCGTTTACAGCGCCTGCTGGATAAAGTTCGGGGGCGATCTGGGGCTGCGCGGGGGTGGACAGAGCCTGGGAAGAGCTAGGTGCTTCTCAACCAGGCCCTCAGCCTAAGGACAGGCGCCACTTTGCCGGCGCGTCCCAGAGAGCGCGCGCTCACTGGGTACCAGCACCTCACCGCCGGTGCTGGAGAAGGTGAGTGGGCCTGGGCGCCGCCGCCCAGCAGCCCCCGTTGCCATGCTTGGGTCTCCGGACCGCTCAGGGCTGACATGGACCTCCTGAGCCATAAGCTGAGACACCGCATTAACTGTGGCCAGGGACATTCAAAAGCGATTGCATTTAAAAAACGTAAGTGGATTTGGGAGCGGTGCGAATTGACTGACTTTGATTTTTCCGTCAGTTATTAAACCGACTGCTTTTACTTGTCCGAAAAGCATTTGAGTTAAACCACCACGCTTTTAAAATGTGACCGACTGCTCTGCTCACCAGTGACTCAGGTCCCCATGTCCCCCCTTTCCAAATGCTCAAAGGTTATCTTCAAATCTGAGGGAGTCTCAGTGAACCTAAGGGCTGGAGCCCGAGATTATTTTTTTTTGGGTGACCAAAGTCTTCCGCAAAGAAGGTAGCGGAGGCTCTTGGAGGTTCTATAGATGAGCATCAATAGAAGCGTTTCCCCAAAGCTTCCTGAGTTCTGAGCCTTGATCTAAATTCACAAAGGGGTTAAAATGCAGTCTCTTAAGCAAATTCAAAAGACTGGGCTGTGGCTATTTTTTTTTCAAGTATATATGGAAAGCGATACATGTTCTTTCTGAGGCCATTCTTAGAATTGTGTGTAATGACCTGTTTAGCATGTCCACATCTTCTTAAGATAAAAGACTCTTTTTTCTCTTGTTTCTACTGGCTAGTGGGAGTGGGGGGGACTTCTCTCATCTGACACATTCAGTGTGTGCTCAGGAAATGTCGAATGAGGACCAGTGAATGTGGTGTTTGTATGACACGCACATGTTTCCCAGGGATGGTCTAGTTGCTTTATAAATATTAAGTCATGTAGTTGTCATAACAGTCCAAGAAGTAAGAATTATATCCCAGGCGTACTTGTTCAGAAAGGGGCACCATGAGCTTGGCAGTCAGCAAGCCCGACCCTACCCTTAGTGCCTGCACACAGATTTCAAACCCAGGTACTCCCGCCTAAGACTTTGTTTTGTTAATTCAAGCTTAAATCTCACTCTCAGTCCCTACCAGCTGAGAGCCTGAGAGTTTCATCAGTTTGAACATATGAATCTAGGAAACTTGGAGATCAGGCAAAAACCAGCTTTCTCACTGATGATTGACAGGCAAGCCATGCTTGGAAAAGGATCACTCGGGGGCTATAGTGTGGGTTTCTCATTGAACTTGTTATAGAGCATTGTGGGAGAGTTCAAGAAAGATGAGGCGTGTGTATGCACATGTGGATTGTGTGTGTGTGCATGAGTGTGTATGATTTATAGATAAGTGTAGAGAGGAGAAATGGTCCCTCTTTCTGTGACCCACCCACTAGCTGCTCTCTCACGAGACAGATCTACGTTCTGGTGACAGGTGATTCTGGATAGTGACTGTGTGGGGTGAACGAGGCCCCAGTGTGCTCTTAAAGGACAATGAGTGTCCAGTGACTTCCAGGGAGGCCAGTTTTATTGCTGCTGTTATTGTTTATAGCAATTTAGGAGCATTAGGCAAAGTCTAGAGCAGAGGAGGAAATGGCTGTGACATCACTCCTTACACGCTGCGGTGACAAGTTGAACAACGATCTCTGCAGGACCTGTTTATAAGAACAGGTCTGGGCATTGCTGTGACCATCGGACAGCACTCCTCCTGGCTATGTCAGAGCCCCAGTTTTGTCCCATGCCATTTCTGAGCCTTCAAAGGGAGATTGCCCGTTGCTGTGGAATGCCCATAAGTGCTAAGTGTGGTTCTCTTTTCACCATCGTTTCTTTGCTTGAGTCATAATGGACTCCTGTTTTCTAGAGGCACTGGGAAGGATAGAAGGCAAAAAACTGAAGCAGGTTGGGACTGTAGGCTGTGGGCTGTGGGCTGTGGGCTGTGGGCTGTGGGTAGGAAGTGGCCTGACCACGGACCTGAAGCAGAATAAGGAAGGGGAGGACCAAAACGAGGGCAAACTGTGGGATTTGATATCCAGCCTGGGGAGAAACCTGGCACATAAGCCTCTTCTCAATGTGCACAGACATGAAAAGCAAGTCACAGGCCTGGAGCTCAAGTGAAAAATCCATTTCTTACCCTTGCTGACATTTGACTCCTTGGGGAGCATCAGCAGCTAGCAAAGATCAGCCTCACAGAAATAGTTTAGGGGTCAAATGTGCCCTTTGGAGCCACTGTTAATGTCCAAATTCTTAGCAAGAGCCTGAACTTTGGTCCTAGAGAATGGGAAAGGTGGGGACCTAAGGCCTCCTGAGAGGAGCAAGGTGCAAGGCCGAGAGTTTCAGTAGAGAAATTGGTAAGTCATCAGCTTGGCAGTCAGCGAGTCTGACTTTGCTGTTAGCTCTGCATCCAACCGGCTGTGTGATTTCCAGTAGGTCACCTTCCCTCTCTGAGCTGTAGTTTCTTTGTTTGAGCCTGAGTGTGGAACTGACTTCCCTGATTCACTGGCCTCTCTCAGAGGTTCCCACGAGCTCCTTAGGGCTGCAACCTAACGTGGGAAGAACAGATCCAGGACACTGAATCCCCCAGCTCTGTTCCTCTTCCTCTGGGGACCTCAGTGTGTGGCAGCCAAGGGCTCTTCTCTGGGCCTTAGTAGGCCTAGCCAGTATTTCACCTTCACCACTGAGCCTGAAGCCCAACAAATACAGTAGGTGTTTACCAGATACCTGGGGACTAAGATAAGGGTGGTGTCGCCACCCCTCCTTTTAGCTTATGCAGTTGGGATAAAGAAATCCTTGTTGCCCGGTGGGACTTGGCTGTCACCTAAAAAACAGAGGAGCCCAAGATGAAACAGCAAAGCAAACACCAGATATGTTGTTTGTATAAAACAACAGAAAATGGGGGTGAGGAAAAGCAAAGCCACATGAGATACAGAAAACCCCAGAAGCCTACTTTTGGCCCAGTGGTTAAAAGAGAAAAGAAAGCCACAAACATTCCTACAGTTCACCCCGGTGACCTGGAGCCTACGAGGGGATGTGAAGCAGCCCCGTAGGGAGTCTGGAAGAATTGAGTGAGCCCTTCGAGGTTCTCCCCTTCCACCCAGAAGGAGGAAGGAGAGCTGAGGGTACTGTCTTTCATCTCAGATTCCATCCCGCCATTTCTGGACTGTCTGAAAATGAGAACCCATCGGGGACAGGTCAGGTGGAGATATTGACTGCAATTTTCTGGTCAAATAATGAATTGTTAATTATAACCCCGTCGTGTTAGAGGCCCCAGTCATTGGAGACACTTGCAAGCTGTACACCAAGTCCTCTTAAAGTGTTCATCATGAGACATCTCGCTCTAGACCAGGCATTTTCTTCTGGAAGATGGGACCATCAGGGAAGCAGATGTGGGTGGACCCTCGACTCTGCTACGAGGCTCTGAGAAAGTAGGGATGCTACTCTTGAGTGATATCCTCATGGTTTAAAAGACGGGAAAGATGACACTCGGTCAGTACAGTACCTGCCATGAAAGTAGGAAGACAGGGTTTGGGTTCCCAGAACCCACAGATAAAAACTTAGACATACAGAGGTCAGGTGGGTGTCTGTGGTCCATGCTGTCATCAGATGCCATGTGGAAGTCTATGACTCCATGCTCCTGTTGACTGTAAGGGACAAGGAAGCTTCTTCTGCAGTGGTATCAGTGACAGCCAACTCACAGTTGAGAGGGAGGAAGGGGGGGGGCTTCTGTGACAACCTCCATCCTCCAAAAGTAACAACCTAGACCAGAAACCATCAAAGAGAACTCTTAAAATGTGTGATAAAGATACTGACTAGCTCTTCATAAACGACGGCTTCTGGTGGGGACACTGGTAAAGAAGGACTCACTTTTCTTTAAGTGGTTAGCCATGGGGAGTGTGACCATGCTCCAGTAACTATACATGCAACACAATTTGAACTTCCTTTTTTGTTCTTTCTTTCTTTTCCTCTTTCATTCTTTACATTTTTTTCTTTTTCTTTTTTCTTCTTTTTTTCCCCCAGGGGATGGCCTTAAAGGTATGAGACAGACCTGGGAAGACAAGGAAGGGGATAAGAGGAAGGAAACTTGGGCATGGCGGCCTATGTAATTTCAGCCCTGGAGAGGTGTGGTGCATTCTAAGACAAGTGGATCCTTGAAGCTCCCTAGCCAGCCTGATATCCATCGCTGCCCTAACCACACACGTGCATACATGAGCATGCTTCATCCACACTAGCAACACATATATCACACGC